TTTTGACAATTTCCAATTTTCCCAGATTCATACTTAGTACATTCCATGTTCCGATTTTCAATGGATGTTTACAGCTGTTTCTATTCATTTTCAGTTGTGCCCCATGAGCAAATGAAGGTCCTGCGGGCTTTTTCCCATGAGTTTTACCCCCATTCACTTTCTCACGGTCAGCTCTGCTTTGAGGAGGCAGCTCTTCTCGGGTCGCATTTTGAGTGCCTTCCAACCCGAGGAGCTCATTTTCTGGCACTATATCTGACAGTGTTTCTCTTCTATTTATAAGGTTTTTAGTGACTAAATATTTGGAAGTAGTTTGTCACTCTTTCTTCCTAGTCTGTCTTTGTCTGGAAGCTCATCTGAAACCTGTCCACCAAGAGCAGAGCCTTCGGTATGGATTACATCTCAATGTAAAGAAAACAAAAATCCTGGACCAATAAACAACATTCTTATCAATGGAGAAAAGATTGAAGTTGTCAATTATTTCATTTTTCTTGGATCAACTGTCAACACTCATGGAAGCAGCAGTCAAGAAATCAAATGACATACTGCTTTAGGAAAATCTGCTGCACAAGACCTTTTTTAAGTGTTGAAGAGCAAAGATGTCAACTTGAGGACTAAGGTGAGCCTGACCCAAGCCATGGTATTTTCAATAACCTCATATGCATGTATGTAAAAGCTGGACAGTGAATAAGGAAGACCATAGAAGAACTGATGCTTTTGAGTTATGGTGTTGAAGGTGGCATGGGCTGCCAAAAGAACCAGTAGATCCATTTTGGAAGAAGTGCAGCCAGAGTGCTCCTTAGAGGCCAAGATGGCTAAACTTCATCTCTCATACTTTGGACATATTGTCAGGAGGGACCACTCAATGGAGAAGGATATCATGTTTGGTAAGGTGGAGGGTCAGAGAAAAAGAGGAAGACCCCCAATGAGATGGATTGGCCGAGTGGCAGCATTGATGGACTCAAGCGTGGCAACAGTAGTGAGGCTGGCCCAGGATCAGGCAGTGTTTCGTTCTGCTGTGCATAAGGTCACTATGGGTCAGTACTGACTCTATGGCGCCTAACAACAACAACAACAACACAAAGAAATAAAATGCACCTACTAAGTGCTTTTATAATTGTTAAGTGCTATTCAGTTGGTTCCCATTCGTAGTGATGCTGTATAGGGTTTTCCGAGGAGCAGCTGTTGGGTTTGAAATGCCGACTTTATGGTTAACAGTCTAGTGCTTATCCTACAGTTTCACACCAGTACTCAGTTGATGATGTAGACCTATATATTTAGCATGGAACTAGATCTTCCATACACAATTAAGTTACAAAACAAATGGCAAAAAATGGTAAGAGAGTTGCTGCTGTTATGTGCCATTGAGTCAGAATTCAAGCTTACATTATGTGCTACCATATCAGGATTTGCAAGGCTATAATCTTGACAAAAGCAGATTGTCACATGGGTTCAAACTACCAACCTTTTGGTTAGCAGCTGAGCACGTTAACCACTGGGACACCAGGGCTTCTTAGTAAAACAATATGCTCAAACATTTTAACATAGGGCAAAGTCTCTCTCTCTCCGTATACATAGTAGCCAGTCTCCAAGATGGCCCCCGTGATTCTCATTTCCTGGTCATCACATCCATTTATAATTTCTTCTACACAGAACAGGGTGGGCCAGTGTGGCCAACAGGATACTGTGCAAGTGACTGAGTGTGGTTACAAGGCTAGGCCATTGTGGCTTCCAGTTGGTTCTTTCTCTTGGGTTGCTTGCTCTAGGGAACGCTGCCATGTTATGGTATCCCTGGTAGCACTTTATGAGAAGCACTGGACTACTAGCCATAAGGTCAATGGTTCAGATCTACCAGCAGCTCTGTGGAAGAAAGATGAGGCTGTGTGAAGGATTTACATTCTCAGAAACCCTATATAAGGTTGCTATAAGTTGGAATCAACTTGACGACAGTGGGTTTGGTCAAGAGTCCTGTGGAGAAATCCACATTGTGAAGAAGTGAGGCTTCCTGCCAACAACATGCACTAACATGTCAAACATGGGACGGAGTCACCTTAGATTTCCCAGTTCTAGTCAGACTTTATGGGGAGAAAGATGAGGCTTTCTGCTCCTGCAAAGATGTACAGCCTCGGCTGTGTGCTGGTGGCCAGGAGGCAGGCTTGCAGAATGTGCCCTTTGGTTGTTTAAATAACTATATATTCCTGAGTGTGTCTGTGTACATCTCCCCTCAAAAAAACAAAACAAAAAAATCCCCAGAGGGAATAGAAGGAAATACTATTGAATGATGATGCACAGAGGAGACTAATCATTGCAATGAAATGATGAGTGTAAACTGTAAAACTGATGTTGCCCCATGTAAACCATCATTCAATTCACAATAAAAACTTTAAAAAAAAAACCCTGTACAGGGTCACTGTGAGTCAGAACCGACTCAATGGCACTTAACAACAACAATTCAAACCTTCAGATGTTAGCGTCCCCAGCTGACACCCTGACTGCAATACCATGAATGAATCTAAGGCCAGAACCACCCAGCTAACACATGTACACACACATACACACACACACACACACACAGGGAGACTTCAAAAAACTTGTGGAAAAATTCCATTGGTTTTAATTCCATTTTTCCACAAACTTTTTGAAGCCCATGTATACATACACCCACATGTGCATAGCTATGTACATATATACATAGAAAAGTTATAAAGATAATCACCAGTAATTGGATAATGGGATTATAGCTGAATTCTGCTTTCTTTCTTTGCACTTCTGTAGATGGTATCTTTATTGTACAAAATATGGACAAATTTTACTTTGAATTTTTTATAATTAGTTAGAATTATAACAGAACTAGTTTAACTGTTTTTGGAAATGGAGGGGAAAACCACGATTCTCACCTGCCAAATGTTCTCAGTGAGCCCCCATCAGGAATTTGGCCGGCACTGATCTCCCAAGGAAAGTAATAGATCCCAGGTTTGGGTAACATCATTGGCTCCTGAAACCAAACAGTCGAGATGGATTTTTGAAGATTCCCCATAACCTAGTATCTTAGGTATTATAAACACTGTGGCAGTGACCATCCCTCCCACAGTCCTCTCTACTCAGCTGGGTTCCATAATTCATTGCAGTGATGACGCAGGACTCAGACACCAGACTCATGGTTATGGGATTTATTATGGAAATTAACAGATTACATACAAGTCAGACCTAAAACATACACAGGGCACAGCTCTTTCAGTCAGGACAGACTCTCCTCAGCTGTGCCCATAGGCAGGCCTGTCTCTGCCTGGGCATTGCTATAATAAAGCTTTTTTAGGGCTGCTGATAAATGCCCACTGGGCACACCATTCCACCATGAGCCTCAACCCAAAGACACTCAACTCCAGTACTGCAAATCAGCAATCCTAGCTTCCCTAAGTAAATGCCTGGAGGCACCCCAATCTGTAAGCAAGATAATGTTCCACCTCCTACTTTGGTGAGTAGCTTTTGGGATCTTAAAAGCTCATGAGCAGCTGTCTAAGGTGCAGCTACTGGTCTCTCCAGGTTCAGAAGACAGAAGGGTGGTGAGAATTGAAGACTCTCATTGAAGAACCAATGAGTCCAAATGGACTAATGGAACATGTAAACATCAGCTTCCATGACTCTGAGACCAGAAGAGCTAGATGGTGCCCAGTTACCACTACCAACTGCTCTGAAAGGGACCCCATTAGAAGGTCCTAGATAGAGTAGGAGAAAATGTGGAACAAAACTCTAAATTGTTAAAAAAAAAAAAAAAAAAAAGACAGGTTTACTGGTCAGAAAGAGACTAGAGGAACCTGAAACTATAACTCTCAGGTCTAGAGAAGAACTCACCCTCATGCCCCAAATGTAACCCTATAGATGGGTATGCACGAGGAACAACAACACTAGTAAGCTGTGCTCACCAAAGATGGTCAGTCATTCAAAATCAAAAGGACCACATGTAGCTAAGGACAAAGTTGAGAAGGGCTGGGAAGGTGGGTAGAAGGGAAATAGGAACCACAGGAAGGAAGCAGGACCACCGCTGTTACACAGAGAGGACTGTAATCATTGAAAAGAAACAAAGTGCATGATTTGTTGAATGTAAAACTGATGATCTTGTCTGTAAACCTTCACTTAATTCACAATAAACTTTTTTTTTTTTAAAGAGTGCTGGCTCTGGGGGAAAGCTTTCTCTCTGTTGCCTCTGGAGGAAGCTCCTCGTCTCTTCTCTGCATCTGGGGGCCTGGTGTTCCTTGGACATCTCCATTTGTCTTGGCATCAGTCTTCCCTGGGTCTAGGAGTGTCTCAGCACAAGGATCCCAGATTCAAAAGACATGTTCCATATTTTTGTGTATTCTTCTTAGTGGTCATGAGGTCCCTTTTCTCTGCACACTTCTCTCTCCTTTTATCTCTTGTAAGATAAAAGATAAGACTCAGCAAGGGTGTGACTTCAGTAAGGCACGAAAGAATGGTGACTAAGGGTGATGACTTGAGTCACACCCTCTCTCCTAAGGTGGTAACTCACGATACATCCTACCTTAACCATGCCTCGTTAACATAACAAATGTATCACTCCCAAGTGAGACTATAACCACGGATTGAGAGGGTAGGACAACCTCACAAAGCAGAGGATACTTACTTCAGATCACAAACGGACGACAACCACACAATACTGGAAATCTTGGTCCAGTCAAGTTGACACATAACCCAACTATCACAGGTTCCATATATCATATTTACACAGCGCCCTCAGTCATTGCTTGGAAGTCACGAAGACTAAGCCTAGAAGAGCCAGATTACGTGATCCTCTGGAGTCCTTGAGCTCCTAACTGTTGGCACAATCCAAGGGCTTCTCTGACAATTAACTGCCCTAAACAGCCTCTTGTCATAAAGTAAAGCACACAGCGCTGTTCCAAAGGGCGGTTCCTACCACTCTCTCAGGGACACCTGGTGTTTTCAATGAAATGAAATATAACTAACATACCAGAGAATTGACCTACTAGCTAAACAAACTGTAGAAGTCCCTCCCTCTTTTGTAACAGACCCAAATATTCTTTATCTATATTAGTTTTCCTCTATAGATTTTCTTTAAAATATTAGCGAACTGGGGTTTTGGGGAAGATTGTTCAATGAAGAAAGAATCCGGAAAGTGATAACCTTCAACTATTTCTGGACAAGCAAGTGGAAAAGTAAACATAGATGGTGTGCCACTGGGTTGGTTCCGACTTAGTGACCCTGTATAGGGTTTCTGAGGCTGTAGATATATATTTTTTAATGTTTTATTGTGAATTATGTGATAGTTTACATGGGAGAACATTAGTTTTACATTCATCCTATCCTATATCGTTTCATTGCCATGGTTACAATCCACTCCATGCATCATCAAACAACCAAAGGGTATACACTACAAGCCTACCCCGCCTGTCGTCAGCACACAGCCCCTCTCCCTCTCTGTGTCTAAAGTCCCCAGCTGCTCCATTTCTCCACGTCATCTGCCTCCATCTCTGGCATCACTGCTTCTCTGGGTAGGGTCCTGCTCTCTGCTCTTCTCCATTGATGGTCCCAGGGCCCTCCGCTCCTAGACTGAAAAGTTAATCACTCCCCTCCTTGCTACAAAACATCTACCTTTACATTTCCAAACTTCACAAGCAGTCCTGATAACAATTATTCACTATTGTAGCACAAGAAACCTATCTGCATTTCATTTCATCAGCCCCACCTAGACAGACAGATTGGATACTGCTCAGTGGAGATTCTACCTTCCTCCATGCCCTCTGGATCTAGGTTCCCTCTTGAAAGCCTGTAAGCCAATCACTTCTTGCCTTTGTAGCCCCACCCCCACCCCCTGCCATTTTGGACAGCCAGTGTCCAAGTTGCCTATCGCTATCTATTCTGTGTATGGAGCGGGGGCGGGGGGAATGATCTTTGCTGTGTAGATCTTTATAGGAGCAGAAAGTCTCATCTTTCTCCCATGGAGCAACTGGTAGATTCTAACTGCTGTCCTTGCGGTTAGCAGCCCATCTCGTAATCCACTACGCTACCAGGTCTCCTTCAATAGTGACCATCAAATTGGTTCCGATTCACAGTGACACTGTGTAGGGTTTCCAAGGAGCAGCTGGTGGGTTTGAACCGCCGACTTTGTAGTTTGAAGTCCAATGCTGATCCTACAGTGCCATACCAGGAGTCCAATGGTGATTAGATAATCCTAAGTAAGATCCTAGCAGAAACAGATGACACAGCTTTCGTCCCCAAATTGAATATAACCTAGAATCTTGCACAATTATTCTAGAGTACAAGATGTCATCAGGGTATACTGCAGGTCAGCACACGATGGCCATTTCAAGACAGAGTGTGAGAGCAGCTCTTGTTGTCCAGCTCGGGAGCAACTGAACTGGCCAAGGCTCAGCGATCACCCTTCTGCCAAAGCTGTCCAATGCCGCTGGGACCAGGGAACATAACTATCAGTGGCACCATAAATTACACACCCCCCAATGGTGGTTTGGAGTAGTTTGTGCCTTGGAGTTGGCTCTGACTCAGAGTATCCCTGTACAGTGTTTCCTAAGGCTGTAGATCTTTATGGGAACAGAAAGCCTCATCTTTCTCCTGCAGAGCAGCCAGGAGATTCTAACTGATGAATGACCTTTCGATTATCAGACTAATGTGTAACCACTACACTACCAGTTCCTTAGAGAACTCTGTTTTTTTTGTTTGTTTGTTTGTTTTTTAAAAAGAGTAAAGTAAACAAATGAAAAAATGTAGTGGTTCCTGTTTGGGATCAGGGGGAAAATTCCATTTAGTCTAGTGAAAAGCTAAAACTTTAGAACCTTTAAAGTCATCTTGCTACTCTCAAGTACCATGTAGACTATGTTGTTGTTGTTAAGTGCCGTGGAGTCGGTCCCAACCCAGAGCGACCCTGTACAGGGTTTCCGAGACTGTAAATCTTTACGGGAGTAGAAAGCCTCATCTTTCTCCTGCTGAACAGCTGGTAGTTTCGAACTGCTGACTTTAAGGTTTGCAGCCCGATTCGTAACCACTATGCTACCAGAGCTCCTTATGTAGACTATAAATGAAGCTATAAACAAGTGCCATGGTTCAAGAAACCGGTTGCCATGAAGCTGATTCCGGCTCATAGTGACCCTTTACAGAAACAGACTGCCACATCTGGTAAATTTGAACCACCAATCTTCCAGGTTAGCAGCCAAACACTTAACCCATTGTATCACTAGGATTGCTTTAGCATACAGAAAAATTAACTTTTGACACGGTAGGGTAAACACTGGACTGCAAACTGCAAGGTCTTCTGTTCAAATCCATCAGCTGCTCCTCAGAAACCCTACACAGGGTCACTATGAGTCAGAACCAATGTGAGGGCACTTAACAACGACTGTATGAGAATATTCTTGTTTTTAGGACATACACTCTCAAGTAGCTAAGGACAAGGGGCATGGCTTCTTCAATGCACTCTCCAATGGCTCCGAAAAAAAGGAAGCAAGCCAATATATACAGTTGATTGGCATGAGACAGGCAAAGCCAAGTACAAACTACAAATTCAATAACCAGGAAATCTGGTTGAAGAGAATCTAGGTTCCATGTTCTAGTCTGACAATTCTTACATAACTGATATTACTTCAGGGTAAGATGATTTGTTGTTGTTATTAAGTGCCATCAAGTCGGTTCCAACCCATAGCGACCCTATATAGGGTTTCTGAGGAGCAACTGGTAAGCTTGAACTGCCAACCTTGTGGTTCAAAGCGACTCTGCAGTCCAGCGCATTAATCCACAGCGCCACACCAGGACTCCCGGTAAGATGAAGTTGTTGTTGTTAAGTGCCATCGAGTCGATTCTGACCCATAGCGACCCTGTATAGGGTTTCCAAAGAGCAGCTGGTAAGCTTGAACCACCAAACTTGCAGTTCAAATGACTTTGCAGTCTAATGCATTAGCCCACAGCGCCACACCAGGACTCCAGGTAAAATGATAAAGTTCCCTAAATACAGGGCTTCATTTAAGCCTATTCTACTTAAGGCTGAGTATATCCATTATCACTTTTAGATTAAGAGCAACTGACTTTCTAGAATATTCAAAGAGTCTGTCAATTAGTCATTTCTTAAATCAACAAGGATTCGCTGAGCATTTTCTCTGAGGTCAGCACTGGGTCCTTTGCCAGGCTCAGAGAATGAATAAGACCCTATCTCTACTCATGAAGGGTCCTAAATCAGCACCTTGGAGTCCTGGTGTGGTGCTGTGGGTTAATGCGCTGGACTGCTAAGTTAGTTTGATCCACAAGGTTGGAGGTTCAAGCTCACCAGCTGCTCTTCACAAACCCTATACAGGGTCGTTATGGGTCAGAACCCGATTAACAACAACACTTAACAACAACAAACCAACACCTTAATACGATGAATGAGGGCCTGGAGGTTTTAGTCGTCAGTTAAAAGCAGAGCCAAGACTAGAATCAAGTACTGAAACAAGTTCCTGTGGCGTTCATACTTGGTTTACCTTGCGGAATGTATTGTTTTGTTTTATCATTCGAGATTTATCAACTGTGCAGAGTGGAGGGCAGAGTGCACTGGGGGTCCCAAATATCGGGTCACCCTAGAAGCACTGTTGAGGTTCCTGGTGAATTCAATTGGTCTTATTGTCAAATCACTAAACCAATATTGACACAAATCAGTAAACCAGTATTGACACAAAGCAAATATTTATTGCAGGGAGAAATCACCTGAAAAATAAAAAGCAGAAAGGAAACCTATGCTAAACATATTTTGAATAACATCTTCAACATTTAAACACTGACTTTAATTGAGGCATTGAGAACAAGGAATATGAAACCTTCAATCTGCTCCCAGCCTATTACTAAGTAGCTGTGAGACTACCTTACCTCTCTGGGCCTCGGGGTTTTGTTGTTGTTGTTGTTTTAAAACAAATTAAAGGTTCCAGTTCAAGATAAAGAATTGGACATTGTATTTTTCCACCTCTCTCTATCTCCAAGGTCACTGGCACCGACCAAGTTTTCTGTCTTCCTGTGAATTAGGGCAACCGATTTATAACTGATCTCTTTATTTCCACTCTTACTTCTCTATATTCCATTCTCCTTAAAACAACCAGAATGACACTTTAAAATGGAAAATAGATCATAGGAATTACTTTTTCCAAAAATTCAAATCTGATTATCATAAAGACTCTAGATCTAACCAACAGCTTACAGACAATACAGAAAGGAGAACACGGTAAGGACACCACAGAAATGATAAAATCTCGATTGTGGGGAATACTACAAGAAAAAGATCTGATTTCACTAACAAATAAATTGAAAAACAAGCAAATAGGGGAAAAAGAGACTTATGTTTCAGAAAAGGACATGGAATTAGGGATAACATTGCTGACATCAGATAGATCTTGGCTGAAAGCAGAGAATACCAGAAAGATATTTACTTGTGCTTTATTGACTATGCAAAGGCTTGTGACTGAGTGGATGGTGAAAAACTATGGATAATATTACAAAGAATGGGTATTCCAGAACACTTAATAGTGCTCATAAGGAACCTGTACATAGACCAAGAGGCAGTCCTTGGAACATAACAAGGGGATACTGAATGATTTAAAATCAAGAAAGGTGTGCACTAGGTGTATATCTTTTCAGCATATATATATATATATATATA